CCAGCCTCCCCAGGCTCTGGTGGTCCCCAACTGTCCCGCAGGGCCCCTTGGTCAGCAATCTGTGGACCAGCCATAGAAAACACAGAAGCCACCAGGCCCGGCAGGAGTGCTCCTGCACGGGAGCCAGCAGCTGCTGGCATTTCCTGACTTGCCTCCGGGTCTGGCTGGGTCTCTCATGGGTGGCTGTGCAGCCAGGGGTCCTGCAGTATGGCCTGCAGTGTACTTATGAAGGTGCCGGGTACACCCTCAGAATCCTGTTCTGAGCAGGGCGCATGCCCACTCTACCCAAGTTCAGGCCAGGCCCTGTAGGTGGGGCGGGCGCCTGGCGGGCCTCCTGCACTGGGGTGTGATTGCGCCTCGGCACCCGGTGAGGCCTCGCTGCACTCGAAGTGCGCCCAGCTCCACTTGTGGAGGGCTGCGGGGTCCTGGGAGGTGGGTGAACAGAGATTTCCACATCTCAGATGTTGACTGGCTCTGAGGGCTGGCGGCAGGTGTGACAGGCATGGAGAGGGGGTCGGGGTCCTGGGCAGGCAGGGGGCCTCAGGACGCGACCCCTGCCAGCTTCCGCTGCCCCCACTTTAGTATTTCTGGCCTTGGGGTTCCGGGGTACCTGTGGGTGCTACACTTTCTCCTACACAGGATGAAGCTGGGACAGTCCAGCAGGCAGCTGACTTTGGCACCCTCTTTCTCTCTCTCTCTCTCTCTCTGTGTCATAGATTGTGGGGATTGAACTTAGGGCCTGGGAGTTATCCCTGAGCCTCTTTGTGTTCAAGGCTGGCTCTCTACCACTTGAACTATAGTGCCATTTCTGGTTTTCGACTGGTTCATTGGAGATAAGAATCTCACTGGGACTTTTCTGCCTGGGTTGGCTTCAAACCATGACCCTCTCATCTCAGCCTCCTGAGTAGCTAGGATGACAGGCATGAGCCACCGGTGCCCTGCTGCCCTGCCAGCCCCTTCTCGTGTAAAATAGGATGAGGGCCCTGCCACCTTCTGTGGGAGGAGCTGGAGGAGCGGAAGAGTCCTGCCCTGGGTAGTGGTCCCTGTCTCAAGGGACGCCCAGCCAGGACAAGGACGGGAAGCCCCGAGTGAGCCAGGGAGGGCAGGGGGAGGTCTCGGGGTCTTTGAGGGCCCAGCACTGGGCTGCTAACTTGGGTAGGACTGTCTGAGTCCCACCCAGCTGTAATGCCAAGCTGCCCGGCCCGGGGGGTGGGGCTCAGAGCGCTGCCCAGGCAGGGTGCTGCCGGCCACGCTCTGGGCATTGGTCTGTGTAGAATGTGACGCAGGCTGCCTGGAGCCCTCCCTGGGCTGGCTGGAGAGCTGGGGGCTCCGGGGGTAAGGAGTCCCACGGAAACAGGGTCAGGGCTATGCAGGGGCCCAGAAGGGGCAGGAGAGCGTGTGTGGAGGAGCCGCTCCCACCTGCCCTGCCCTGCCCTCCCCCTCCTCTTGCCCTTCCCCCCTCCTCTCCCACCCTGGACTGGACCCCTCTGGGGCTGGGGTCCTAGGTGACATTCCCCGGGGTTCTGACCTTGTGGCCCACAGCCTTCAGTGGCTCCTCTTTCTTGGGTGGGAGCGGCCTGCACCCCGGGTGGGGAGGTCTGGTGGGGGGTCCCAGCTGCAGATTTGGGTAGCACTGGGCAGGGGGGGGGTTGGGGGTCATGACTCCCAGCCTCAGTTTCCTCCATGAACTTGAGCAGAGCCAGGGGCGTGTGTGTGTGTGTGTGTGTGTGTGCACGCACGCACGTGAAGGGGGGGAGGGCCATGGTGTCCATTTCACCACAGTCCCCTCACATCCTGCCGGTCTCTTCCAGAGGTGTAGAGGGGGGGTTCACGGAGCCCCAGCACCCAGAGCCTATTTCCAGGAGGTGAGAGGGTGCTTGGAGCCCCAGCATTCAGGCCCTGCCTCCAGGAGGTGCCTGAGAGCAGGAGGAGCAGCGGGGGACTGGGGGAGGGGAGGGGACGGGGGACACAGCGGGCCTCAGGCCCTGCCTCAGCCGTCCAGGCCTCCAGGAAGCCAGGGCAGGCGCCGGGGGTGACATTTCCTGCTATTAATGGCGGTGAATCTAAACAGGCCCTAATATTTACCTCTAGACGCCTCCGGCCTCCGAGGGTGCCAGACTTCAGAGTGATGATCCCTGTCCAGCCAGAGCCTCTCCACCCGCAGCCTCCTCACCCACAGCCTTCCCAGCCAGGGCCAGAGATGAGCACCAGAGGCCTGGGTGGAGCCCCTCCAGGCTGACCCCCCCATCTCTCTGGCCTCCTAGGGCCTGGGGGGGAGGGGTGGCAAGCCCCTCCCCACCTCCAGACCCCACTTGGTAACAGGGATGGACACAGTGGATGACGGGCATGGGCCGAGGGTCTGCCACTCAGCTCTGTGCCCTTCCTGTGCCCAAGATGTGGGCTGGAGTGGGGGCCACGCCCGTCCCTCCTCCCCAGTCCGCCCCACCAACGCCTCCTGGCAGATGGAGCTTGAGTTGTGAGCAGAGTGGTAAACAGCGTTGATTCAGAACCAGAACTTGTGGTGAAGGGTGTTGTTTACAGCAGATATAAATACACACACCATTTCACGTCACGCCGGCCTTTTGAGAATCCAGGCTGGGAGAACATAGCCAGGGAGAGCCAGAGACTCACACCCTGGTCTATGGGACCCAGCAGGGCCTGGCTTCACCCGCCAAGCTCTGGGGCCAAGTGGCTGAGGGAGCTATGTGGCCTAGACAAAGGTCCTGGGGTAGATGCCTCGACCTCCAGGCACTCAGCTGAGGACTGGGAGTGGCTGAGGGGAAACCCAGGCCCAGCTTGTGCTGGAAGAGCCATGGGAGTCCGCGGGAGTGTGGACCTACCTGCCCCCTGCCTCCTGGAAACGTGGCTGCTCCCGCCCGGGCCCAGGTGTCTTTTACCTGCGATCTTGCCCTTCTAGGCCCCACGAACTCAGGCCGAGCGACAAGGTTTTATGTTGGGGATGGAAGTGTGTGTGTGTGTGTGTGCGCGCGCGCGCTGGAACTGGGAATTGAACTTGGGGCCTGGGAGCATCCTCTAGCTTTTCTGTTCAAGGTTACCACTCTACCACATGAGCCATGGCTACACTTCTGCCTTCTTGGCGATAAAAGTCGCACAGACTTTCCCGCCTGGGCTGGCTTTGCGATCTTTAGATCTCAGCCTCCTGAGTGGCTGCGATTGCTTGGCTCGTCCCCGTTAGAAACTCATCCTAAAGGAATTAGTTGCAGAAAAATGGCAACTTTTCCACCTTCAGCAGCCATTTGCTCTTTAGTGTGAATCAGAGTGCTGACCAGCAAAGCATCGGGATGGGGGAGCTGTGGTGGGGATGCAGAGGGAAAGATGGTGGAGGGGCTGGTGGGGCACAGAACACTGGCAGAGGACGGGCGTGTGCTGTAAGGGGGGGCATGAGCCTGCATGTCAAGTCAAAGTAGCTGGTGCACCTGGTCCCTTACTGGCCCCCAGAGCCGCCCGGGACCGAGGCTGCTCCTCAGTCTGAGCATCCCTCCCACTGCCCCCGCCTCTCTATGCATGGCGGCTCTCAGAGGTCACAGGGGTCATCATGGCCGCTTGGGTGGCCACGGGGAAGCTATGGTCAAACTCTGGGGCCTCGAGACTCCCCTGGGATGGATCAGAAAAAGGCAGAGCCCCTGACCCATGATATCCAGACTCCTCGGGGAGCACGAGCAGTCAGACCATGAGACACCTGATTCTCACCCCTCTGGCTCTTCTGAGTGGGGATGTGAACACAGGCAGCGCTGGGAAAGAGCTCCGGGCTGGGGGCCTCCGTGCTGTGAGCCCCTGCGAGGATGCTTGGTGGGCTAGCAGAGTGTCTCCAGACGCCCGGCCCAGCTACCTCCTGCCCTGAGGTCCAGGGGACCCCACCCTATGGGGCCGAGAACCCCATGAGCCTCAGCCCCTCTGAGCTTCCCTGCGTGGGTCGGGGATGTGCAGGCAGGAGATGCTGACCGGTATGTCCACCGCTCGTCAGCACCCAGGCCATGACCGGCACAGGAGGAGGCTCCTGGACCTTGACAACGTGAATGAAGGCCTGGAGTCCAGGCCAGAGGAAGGGATCAGTGGCCAAGCCAGTGCAATGTCCCTTGCTGTGGAAGGCACAGTCCAGGTCAGAGCTGGCCCGGTCCCCCTGCTCCTGGAGGAGACAAGGAGGGGCTCCTTGGCTGGCAGGCCTGGGTTTCAGCTGCTATGCATCTTTGTTTCTGGTTTCCTTGTCCACAGGACCAGATGTTCCCCCTATCCTCGGGGGAAGGAGGGGAGGTCTCCGTACCATTCCCGGGCAGAGGTTGGGGGCCCAAGCAGTTTCCACAGAAGCTGCAGGAGGAGGCGTCTGGGTGTTCGGGGAGGTGCGGAGGGGTTTGGCTCTAACCCTGTCCAGGGTGACACCTGGGTGCGGCTTCCCCTTCCAGCACCAAGAAGCGAGCAGAGGCAGCCTCTCCCTGGCCAGGTGCTAGCCCAGCGCCCAGCAGCGCGCCCTGTGCTGTCCTGCTCTCTGCGCGGCTCCCAGAGGCCCGCGGGCCTCAGAGAGGGGCCCGCCTCGCTGCACACAGCTCTCGCGTCCCCCACAGTTCTCTTTCCGCTCTTGTCCTCCCATCTGTCTGTGCGTTAAGGTAGGTGTGGATCTCCAGGTTGCTTTTTGTGGAGTCCTGAGAAGATAGAATCTTTATTCCTTTGCCCGAGGAGCTTCTCCTGGGGACAAATGAGCGGGGTGAGGAGCAGCTCTTGGGTCAGCTCCTGGCTGCCCTTCTGCATGTTCACTGGACACTACATAGGCACAGGGCAGGCAAGGAGTTGGCACTCGGACCACCCCACCCCATCTGGGGCCCACAGCAGACATTGCTAATCAACCACAGCTCTGTGGCTTTAGGATGTGGATGCAGTGGCACTGGGGAGCTATCCCCAATTGATCAACGGTGCTGCCTCTGGCCCACCAGTGTCTGGACTAGCAACCAGAGCCTCCAGCTCTGGCTCCGGCAGAGTGTAGTTACCTATGGCTCAGGCCCGTTGGTCACGGGGTGGGTGAGGGCTGGAGGGCCGGCGCCGGGCACGTGACGGGAGCCGGAGCCCTTGCGCATGCTGACCACGTCCACACTGCAGGGCTCCAGCTGGGCTGCCTGCCGCTGGTGGAAGAGACCACGGACCGTGGCCTGGAAGCCGCTGGTCACGAAGCAGTAGACGATGGGGTCCATGCAGCTGTTGAGGCTGCTGAGGGTCACGGCCACGTGGTAGACCACGAGGCTCGTTGGGTGCGGCACGCCGGGCCACAGAGCCACGGCCACCTGGTGCGCGTGGAAGGGCGTGAAGCAGACGAGGAAGATGATGAGCACGGTGAGCAGGAGCTGCACGGCGCGCACGCGGCGCCGGCGGCCCTGGCTCAGCAGGCCGGGCCTGGAGAGCGCGCACACCATGCGGCCGGTGAAGGCGCCCAGGACGAGCAGCGGCAGCAGGAAGGCCAGCACGGTGAGCGCCAGCATGCGGCAGCAGGGGCGCGGGCCCGCGGCCGTGCCCAGCACCGCCAGTGTCACCGCGCCCACGGCCAGCCACACTGCGGCGCACGCGGCCCGGGCGCAGGCGGGCTGGCGCCAGCGGCGGGCGCCATCGGGCTGCACGATGGCCAGGTAGCGGTCCACGCAGATGCAGGTGAGGAAGAGGATGGAGCAGTGCATGTTGAGGAAGTAGCCGAAGACGTGCGGGAAGGCGCAGCGCACGCAGCCCTGCGCGCCGTAGAACACGGCGAAGCGCGTGGGCAGGGACAGGCCCACCAGCAGGTCCGTCACCGCCAGGTTGATGGTGTAGGTCACCGAGGGCGTCGAGGCCCGCGTGCGGCAGCAGAAGACGTACAGCGCCAGCCCGTTGAGCACCAGCCCCGCCAGGAAGATGACCCCGTGCGCCACCATCAGCGCCAGCCACAGGCGCGGGAAGGCGGCATGCAGCTCCTCGTCCAACGCCGCGAACAGCTGGAACAGCGGCATCTCCGCTGTGCTGCCATTGGTCCAGGCTCCTGCCGTGGCATTGGGGGCTGCTGCAGGCCAGGGCCCCGTGGGGGCAGCGGAGGGCATGGCGGTGGCCAGAGCACCGGGACCTAGAGCAGGAGGAGCGGGGACTGGGCATCAGCCTGGCACTCGATGTGCCCAACCCAGCTTGATCTACCCACTCTCTCCTGTTACCCGGACCTGTGCTTGCTGTGGGTGGTGTGTGTGTGTGTGTGTGTGTGTGTGTGTGTGTGTGTGTGTGTGTCACAAAACACTAAGGTTTCAGCCAGGTGCTGGTGGCTCACGCCTGTCATCCTAGCTACTTAGGAAGCTGAGATCTGAGGATCGTGGTTCAAAGCCAGCCTGGGCAAAGGTCTCTGAGACTCTTATCTCCAACTAACCAGAAAAAATACCAGATGCTGGAGCTTTGATTCAAGTGATGGAGCACCAGCCTTGAGCAGAAAAAGCTAAGAGACAGCGCTCAGGCTCTGAGCTTAGGCCCCAGTAGCAGTGCACGCATGCGTGCGCACGTGCACACCCACACCCACACACCATTCTGGACTGTCCTTGCTGGCCTCTCCACACTCTCCAAACAAGTCCATGGGACCTGCCAGTGCCCTCAGGACGGGTGCCAATCCTGGCTCTTCCCCACACTTGCTGTGCATTCTCAGGCAGGTCAATTAACTGTCCTGTGCCTTGCTCCCCAATCTGTACTCTGGGTCCCCTTGCTCCTGGAAGGGGACTGAGCTCCATGGGGCGACCAAGGGGGCAGTGATGATTGGCTGACAGGTGGTGTCTGGAGAGCCATTTTGGAGGGACAGAGCCTGGCCGGCCGGGGGCCTCCGAGCGGCTTGCCCCGCTCTGCCCATACCCTCCAGGCTGCTTCTGTTCACCTCCTCCCGGGGAGGCTGTCCAGCTGGGCATGGGGCTGGGACGGCTCTCAGCGCGCCTCTCCCCCCCCCCCCCCGGTCCCTGGAGCCCCAGGTCTTCATCCCCCATGCCTTGCTGGGGCTGGAGCCTGGAGCCAGGCCTCAGCCGGGAGCTGGCCGGGCCAGCTGCTGTGGTCAGATAAACATGGGGCAGAGAGGCTGGCGGGGCGCGGGCCAGGCGGTGGGGTCCCAGGCTGGGCCCACTGTTTATGTTCCTGCTGAGGCGTGTTTAACTCGGCCCAGATTTATTCCTTTATTTATAAAGGAAGGGTTAACGGCATCCCACCCCCTCCACAGTGGGTTCACCCTCCAAATAAGGACATTTCTGGCTTTTTCAAGAGAAAGGAGCCTCTGGCCAGGCAGCCAGAGGGGGGCACAGGAGAGAGCCCAGGGCTGGCGCCCCTCCGCCCTGCCTCCCCCACACTCTCCATCTCATGAGGCGCCGAGGGGCAGCGAGCAGGACCTGCCCCCTCCCGGGTACAGGCTGTGGGGCTTCGGGCAGCCAGGCCCCTCCGGCTTTCCCACTCTGTTCCAACGAGACTCCGAGTTCTGCCTCCTAGAGGACAGGTCCCGTGCCTGCCTGGAGAACAGGGGATGCCGGCAGGCACCAGGCAGGCCGGGCGGGCTCAGAGAGGTCCATCTGCTGAGGCCACCAGCATGGCCGGAGCCGCTCTACACCCCTGCCCTGATGTCCGCCACCTGAGGCTGCTAGAGGTGCTCAGGCCCGCCCCCTGCCGCCTCCCCTGCCCCCAGCCCCAGGCTCTCCACCTCTTACCCTCAACCCCACAGACAGGGTTGTTGGGTGGCTGGTCCGTTCTGCCTCAGCCCTGGCCTGTGGGCGTGAAGGGAGCTGAAGGCTGGCACCTGGGGCTCTGCCTTGGCGACAGGGGCACCCAGGGGGCCCCAGGGGAGAAGGAAGCATCCTGCAGGTCTCTGCTCAGTACTGACAAAGTGCTGGAGGGAGACCCGGGGGAGGCATACCAGCTTTGTGGATTATGCACGAGACTTGGTTTTCCATCTTGTCTGCCCCGGCGCAGGGGAGCGTCACCAGCTGAGACAAGGCACGCACATCATAAAACAGTTGCTCTGAGAGCCAGGCCCACGATGCTGCTGGCCTCAGTTCTCTCCTCCCGTGAGACTCCTCATTGCTGGCCAATTGTGCACCAGCAGTGCCACCAAGATGCTGTGGCTCAGGCCAGGGCAGTGCAGCTATGGGGTCTCCCGAGTTGGAATGGGACATCAGGACATCCCAGAGGCAAGACAGGGGTGGAGAGGGGATCTGGTCCTCAGCTCCAAGAGACTGAACCTTGATCTCAGAGCTGACCCTTGACCTGAGTCAATGAAGCCTGAAACTGGTACATGGAGCCATGATCTTAGGAATTCCACATACCTGGATCCCTTTCATGCTCTAAACCTAGACTATGGTCAGGGACTGAGCTCTAACTCCAGCCAGACACTAAGCTCCAATCCTGGCCACATACTGATCTCTGACCCTATTACCATGTCTTGATCCCTGTCATACTCTGAGCCTTGACTCTAGTTATGGACTCTGACTCTAGCACTGAGCCCTGATTCTGGTCACACACTTACCCATGAACCTAGGAACATAACAAACTTTGATCCTCATCTTGTGTGTGTGTGTGTGTGTGTGTGTGCGTGTGCGCACACGCGTGTGTGCATGTGTGTGCATGCGCACTCGCGAGTTGATGGGCTTGAACTCAGGGCCTGTCCTTGTGCCCTTTTGCTCAAGGCAAGTGCTCCACTACTTTGAGCCACAGCACCACTTCTGGCTTTCTGGTGGTTCATTGGAGATGAGAGTTTCACAGACTTTCCTGCCTGGGCTGGCCTCGACCTTTAAGCCTCAGATCTCAGACTCCTGAGTAGCCACAGATACCTGGCTCCTTGTCACATTCTAGTTACACGCCAAGTTCTGATCCTGGTCACACAGATTCCCCACCCACCAACACAGTGAGCACACAGCCTGGATCCTGCAGTCAGTGAGCCCTAACCCCTGTCTCTCTCTGGACACTGATCCTCTTCCTGCATGGAGCTCTGACCCAGGATGCCCAGTACAGTCCATACCTGCTGAGCCTGGCTCTCTCTGTCCCTCCCCCAGCCCTAGCACTCCTGTCATTCCTCGACGTCCCTCTCAGTGACTGATGACCCTGATTTAGTGGTAAGCATCATCCTCTGGACTCAGGAGCTCTTGCTCTGGAGGAGGAACTCAGGCCTGGCGGGGGAGGAGAGGCTGCTCCCTGCCCCCCCCCCCCCCCCGCTGCCTGTGTGTGGGAGGTAGGGGGCACAGACCTGGGGTGGCAGGTGTGAGCAAGCAGGTCTCAGACTCTGACTGCCACCCTCTCCCCTGGGACCCTGGCTTCTCCCTCCTTTGTCAATTGGGTCCTGTGCCATCCACAGCCGGGTGGAGGCAGGGTCCCTGGAGCGGCTGAGGGGGAGCAAGCTGTTTCCTCAGGTCAGACCTGGAGCTGGGCACAGGCCCTGTCCCCTCTCCCTTTCCTGGCAGGGGGCCCTTGCCCCATACTCGTACCCTTCCTGGAGGGGGCAGGGGACTGTCAGAGGATAGGGGAGGAGGGGCGGTGAGCTTCCGCCATCGGACCAGCTCTGCCAGGCCTATGCCTGTCAGGGAGGGCAGGAGGTGGGGCCGGGTCTCCTCGTGGGGACTCTGGGAGCCCTGTTGGTAGCATGGAGGAAAGTGTGTAGACGGCTGTTGGACGGCTGCTGGTGAGAAGCACCGAGCACACCCCGGCGGCCCTCAGCAGGCCTGGCACACGGCAAGAGGTGCGTGGGCCTGGGCATCCGGTGAAGCCCACCACCCCCACACCCAGCCCCGCCCCAAAGCCTGCTGGAGTGCAGCCTCATACCCCACGGAGGGCGGGGGGGCAGGAGCAAGCACCCTTCCCGCCCCTCCTGGCTGGGGGGGGGCAGCGTGTCCTGGCTGTTGCTCAGGCCCCTCTGGAACCCACTCCACTGCCCTGCCTCAGGCCTCCTCTTCCACAGCCTCCCCTCCCCCAGTCCTCTCTGCCGCAGGACCCTGGGTGCTGCCCCAGTGAGTGCCAGGGTGGGAGGTCAGCAAGGACAGCCGGCCAGGGGGGGCGCTCCTGTGAGCCCACAGACAACCCGGCCGCCCGGGGGGGGCTGGGGCCCCACCTGCAGGGCACGGCGGCTTCTGGGGTGGGGGGATTGGGCCCTGCCCCCAGCTATCTGTGTCCTCTCTCCAAGGCCACACCCTGAGCTGAGACCCTGCCTTCCCTCGGAGGGCACTGCTACACCTGGGGGCCTTGGGGGTCCCTAGCCCACCCTGCCGGTCCTCCTCAGCTCTACCCTGAACACCCCGGCTGCCGTCGCAGCCTCCTTAGAGCCCACCAGGGTGGGCACTCCGTGGGGCACAGCAGCCTGGCCTCGCCTGGGCCTTCAGCTGGAAGGTGCTCAGCCAGGGGCTCTTGGCCCGCGCACATGCCATTCCTCCCTCCGGGCACACTGCTCCCTCTGCCTGGTGAGTCACCCAAGGCCAACAGGCAACCTCAGGGCTCCCAAAAGGTGTGCAGGACCCGCCCTGCCCAGGGACGGAGCCCTGCCTCTGTGGGTAGGCCTGCCCGGAGAGGGGCGGCCCTGGGGGGAGGAGGCCCCTGGTGGTCCATTGAGGACAGAATAGGGGCAAAGGACAGGTCCAGCCTCCTGCCCCAGGCTGAGCGCCCCACCGCCGCCTGCCTTCTGTCCTCAGCTCTGCCGGAGGCCACCCAGCTGCTCCCGTCTGCCCCGCCAGGCACCCTGGCCAGCGGCCAGTTCCCATCCCGCCTGCCCCTCGGGACCCTGCTCTCGCCGCCTTCTCACAGGGCGACTCTGCTCAGAAAGCCATGCCTGGCAGCGCCAGATCCACAGTTCTGCTGTGGGCTGAGCAGACAGCCTCCCTCCCCATGCCTCAGTTTCCCCACCCCTGAAAAGATAGGGGAAAGGTAAGGGCTGGGACAGAGGCTGGGACAGGTGGGCAGGCTTGGGCTTCCCTGGAGCCCAGCCTCCCACATCCCTCAGGCCTGCCTCGGCCCCGGGCTCCTGTGGGTGTGGAACTCACCCAGTGCCTCAGGGCTCCCACTGGGCCTTGCCCTGGCCGTGCCTTACAAGTGGGGAAACTGAGGCCCGGCG